TAGGTTTACTTACAACTTAATCAATCAAAAAAATACCTGTTTCTCTTCTCCTTAATATCCTCCTTTCTCAAGAAAAATTGGTTTCCCAGATCATGATAAGAGGCAATCTTGGTGTCATGTAATGTGATTGACTACAAAACATAGTATTCTAAAGTGAGTAACTTGAAAATACTGGGACACTAGGTGAGTTCTAAATATCATCTTAGATCTGTACAAGTACACATACTTTGAACAATGTCATACATGCATACTTTGTGGTTTCTTATTTCATACCACTTAATCAATTTTGATTTTTCTTTGACTCACATTTCTTCCTAATTACCACAGACCATGATCTAGAGCAAATTTTCAAACTAGTTAATTGTTCAAACTAGTAATTACAAGAAAATTTGAACTGCAATGCATAAAATTGTATATAATCAAAGTGTGACGAAACAGTTCCCAGAACATCCTCTTTGACTTGATCTTTTAAAAATTATTTTACCAAGACTTATAATTTGCCTTTTCTCAAAGGCTTTAAACCGAGACCCTTGGAGAGATATAGCTGAAATCAATGGCATCTTGTAATTTGATTCACTCTTTACTGTTACCTATAATCAACCTTTTACCTTAATTCCAGCAAGGACAACATTTTTAGCTGAGAAAAAAAAAAAAAAGAAAAATAATGAATATTACAAACAAATAAAGAAACTATTGTTGTTGCTTATTGTGGTTTAATAGATAAATTGTTTCTCTTACAATGTAAGCCACAAAAAAATAACTAAAACGTTTTCTATGCATTATCTCATTTTCATAATAAAGAGCATTGCACTTCACTTTCATGTCTACTAAAACTGTTTCATAATTAAACCATAACATTTGCAAAAATATCTGCTAAGTCCTACCTATTTCAATCCCTAATCCCCCAAGACCACTTAGAAGCACTTTTGATTGGGCCATTTTGATCATGGCTCCATCACCAAGCATATATCGCTGACGACTGTACAAAAAAATAACAAAGTCCACTATAAATCATAACTTAAAAATTGCCAATGACAGAGGCATGTATTAAATTACTTACTAGATTACATATTAATTCCTGGGAAAAAATGTGGGACAAAACCTTTTCTGTGCAGGCAAGTTATAAAACCAACTGAAGACTAACAACAATCAGACAGACAACTTTTTTTATCTTACATTTACATAAATCTTTCATTACCATGGAGCCACTAGCCTTATTATTACTCCATCTAGATGAGATGCTTATCCTTAACCTTTTACACCCTAACATCAGTCTGCAAATTCTCCATACAGTTCTCTATACATTTCTTAAGGTGCTTTCTAGGAGAATTTGTAAAACAATCAAGAGATTTTTTTTAGTTGGTGATCATTTCCTTCATTCTTCTGATCTTAACATGTGATTCAGGGATTGATGATATAATAAGGAGAAATTAGATGCTGATCACTCCTAGTTAGGATTAAAGGGTTCAATGTAATATAAAGAGCTTTTGAAAATAAACATAGTTTTAAGCACTAAAGTATATAAATTTTATTGTTGTTATTATTATTATCATTATTTTAATTATTGTTATTATTATTATAATAGGTTGGTTAAGTCTGTTCTCAAGCCAAGTGGTGCACCCATTTGCAGCTTATCCCAGTTTCCTTATCATAAAGCAACTAAGAGTATTACTACTTCCCCCTGGAAGATTGTAAGGTTACCACCCAGCATTTCACCAGGTTTACTGATGGTTCATTGCTACCCATTTATATTCATGGGCACTTTGAAAGTTAAGCGTTTTGCTCAAGAACACAACACAACAACCTAGCCAGGTCTGGAATCCAGACCCCTCCACACAGAGTCCAGCACATTAACTCTAAGGGTACCACACCTTCCACTCTATATCCAGACCCCTCCACACAGAGTCCAGCACATTAACTCTAAGGGTACCACACCTTCCACTCTATTACAGCTATCTCCTTAAAATTCATTTCAATTGCCAGAACAGTTCTAGTCACCCATTGATACTCCTGGATGGAGAGTAGTCTTGCATAAGTTGAGTATCTTTTACAACAACACAATAAAATGACCTATCCATCATGACAACTTAAATCCAAACTTTTTAATGAGAGGTTCACCATAATATCTACTGAGCCACACAGTCTTCTACTATATCATTTCTTCTTATATCAAATTAACCTTTAACTCCCATGAGTGACCAAAGTAGAATTTCTCCTTACAATATCAATACAATACCAACCAGATATGTGACGAGAATAAAGAATTATATCAATTTGGGGATAATTGGTTGATCCAATACTAAATTCTCTGACCTAACATTATAAGAATAGCATGGTTTGACAGTAAGGAGAATTACAAATTTGATCTGGGAGTTAAAGGGTTAAAGCTTTTTTCATCTTCCCACTGTTTACCATTCACACACATTGTTTTTAAGTCAGTACCCACTCAAAACTTTCAGGTAAATAACCAATACTTTTGAATTTCCCAATAAGGTATTTCAGTATTATCAACTGAGTTGATAACATAAATTGGCCATCATAAAGAGTTTCAAAGCTGATGCTTTGAGCATTAGCCTTTGGTCATTTACTCTGATGAAGCAATAAAGCTTTGAAACTTTTTACAGTGACTAATTTATGCTATCAACTCAGTTGATAAAACTAAAGTACCCTCTTACACTCTCCTGCTGACACAACACCACAGATTTTTCAGAAAGTTAACACCTTTTCCCAACAAGCATGGCAATACCCAATTGCTTTATCTCACCTGTAAAGAGAGTCATCAATTTCAACCTCAGTTTTGTTCTCCATTTTGATCTACAGTCTTCTTTGAGGGAGACTTGAATCTCTTGGCAACACTCCCTGTAAACAGATCTAAATCAATCCATGAGCTGTTTTGTCAACATGCAAAAGACTCATAGACTACTGATTATTTGAATCATGCACAGGATAGATAGCCTCCTTTAAAATGAAGGTCATTACAGTAAAAAGATAAGTCAGCAAGGAATAGACTGATAGCAGGCTGAGAAGGGAGCAAAAGTCCAATGATTGTCCACCGGCATTTGACCAATAGACTTCCCTTGTCATCGCCAGTCTCATACGTGGCCAAAATCTGGGGACATTTAGACATTGGTTTATCTAACTTCCTATTAGAAGTGAACACAAGCAAAGTGAAGTAATGTTTTAATTATCTATAAATGTAAGTTACTTTACAATTATTGTCAGTCATCTCAACTAACAGATTAAAATATCTGAATGTTTCTCGGATATCATTGAAAAAAACAATCATTTCTCCTGTTGCTAATAAAATTTCTTCTAACTCCCAGCTACTAGTAACTATAATCAGTCCAGAAAAAGCTAGAGTTTTGCCAAAGTTATTTGCAGGTTGTGATATTTTTAAACTATCAATATTGTGGTTGATAAATAGATATTTACAAAATTACTCAGTTAGCTTATTTCTGAATGGAAGTTTCGAGGGTTAAAGGAACCAATAGTTAATTTTGGGGCACCAGCTCTATTAATAATCGCAGTTCACGTTCTTTCTGTAAACAGCCGTATGACGCTGTGTAAAGAAGCCGGAAGGACGGAAGTGAGGCTACATTGAATCACCTGAACATACACTGCTTACATTATATCCTTTCGCTTCGAATTTTGCAATAACTAAGCAGGAGACATAAGATATACAATGACACTGTAAATTTCAATTACCTTGGGACCAATACGAATGGTTAAACCAACAGCAGCTCGTCTCCCAGGCTAAATTGTGAAGAGAAAGGCAGCTTTCCGACGATGCTTGCCAGTTAGACTTAGTGACGGGTCGAAGAAGACTTGCACGAGGCTTGTCAGTCCCAGACCCCCGACGGTGATTTTCACTCGCGCCCTACCAAGGGTGCAGGGTCCCACAGCACTTTTTTCCTTTTGCCAGTTTTGTCTTTCTGTTATTTATCGTCAGTGTAGATATGGCGAAATTTTTTAATTACAAAAATCGCCAATCTAGACTACTTTAAAGTTCGAAAATATTTTCTTTTTTTTTTTCGTAGGAGGTTGAAAAAAGGGGACGATGTGCCAAAAAATAGTTTTTGTGCCAAAAATCAATTTATTAAACCAGAAAAAGATCGAAGTCACACGATTAATCGACATCCTGAACTCGCCATTATCCGATTGCTTACTGTAAGTGTTATAATAAACTCCGTTGGAATGAAAGAATGGCTGTTAACTGAAACAATTTGGGGAAAATTTGCGCCAAATGATTCTTAAATCCCGCAAAAAAAGGTGACCACTTTTACCCCTAGCATCAAGTCGAAAGAGTGAAAAATGAAAAGATGAAAAAAAAAAAGGGGGGAAATATTTTTGGACGTAATTGGGGACCGAAGTGAGAGGGGTGAGGGTCTGGAGGAAGGGTACAGGTTTATCAATGTTCTGCGAAAATTAAACATGGAAAGACACTTGACATTAAACTTTAACACAATTGAATCCCACCTAACGGGAAATAAAAAAGCAGATAACTGAAACTCTACTTTATCTCCAATAAACCCTTACTACATATTTTGCGGTCTCAGTTCTTTCAGATAAGAGAAAAACATTGAAAGGACAAAAAAATAAGGATCGTATATGACACCCTTTTCTAGACTAAATGTTTAATTTGGAATTAATTTTCCTTGGCAGTTCATATGCAGCAAAATTTTTTTTTTTGAAAGTTGATTGGCTGAAGAACCACTTGACAAAAGATCAGTCGTCGGAAACAATGGTAGAGAGAGTCACTACCCTAAATTATATCTGATAGTTTTGCCAATTTATTTCATTTTTTCAAGTTTCATGGAGCTGTAAGACATGTCGGAGTTGTTTAAAAAGCATACATTTCGACATCAGGTTGTTTGCGAAAGGAAGTTCACAATTGAGACGCAGGGGTGTAAAGGTGGCGTGATCAACGGGGAGATGAACAATCGATAAGCTAACCCCCTCTACCCTAAGATTTGTCTTTAGACTTCCTGTTATGACGAAGGTATGTTCCTTTTGACACTATAAGAACAGAGGCGTTTTGTAGTTTTTGCCGATTTACCGAATTTTCACTATACACTGACGAGAAATTACTTGGTTGATAAGCGATTTACATAACAGACTGCGGCGGATTGTTCTCATCCAAAAACTGTAACGAAGCGCTGAAGAATTTGGTCACGGTGGACTCCAGCTGAGTCATTGAGTCAATGTAACTTATGGGAACGAAAGAGAGACGTATAGGAGTAAAATATATGGAGGGCTATCTTGAGTTCAAGGAATCTTCCAAGGTAAATAATGGCTCTTGTTGTCGTGATGTTTACAATTTTACGGTGCTTTTGTTGTCTCGTAAGCTGTTGTCTCGGGTAATTTTGTTTGCTCGCCCGAGGTTAGAAAAAAACCCATCGGATTAGTTGCTTTATGAATACTTAGATAACAACGAAGTTCATTTTAGTTCGAAAGCGTTTCTAACGATGGACATTCTACGGGCGATTGACCAACTTGTGCATCAGTATTGTGATGCTTTTTCCATCCGACGAAAGAATATGTTATTCTATAGATCATTATCGCTATTGAGAGGAAACAGTCTGAAAGCACGCTCGCGTAACAATTTTGATATGCGGGCTGGAGCAAAGCGATACATTCTAATCCCGCGATATTAACAAAAGTTTTGAAAACTCTGATCGAATTCGAGAAGGTGTCTGGTTCAAAATAAATTTTTTGTCATATGGTAACGAAGGATGAGTTATTCAGCTCTGACTGTTGAAAAGTCACGTTCACATAGTTTGGACGATTAACAAATGCCTTGCAAAGAGTTTTAGATTACGCCACATTGTTCAAAGCCCTTGAATTTTTTAAGCAATGTACATTTGTTGTTTATAATATCCTGAAACTATCGACACATAACATGAAAATTGGAACGACCATGTATTTCATGCCTTTCAAGCAAATGTTTCAGCAATGCATACTAAAAAATCGAATAATCAGTTATATCTGATGAAATCTACGTTGAAGCGTGACAAGCTTAATGGTTTTTTTTTTCCTTCTCCACATTGGAAAAAGGGGCAAACAACTGGATTTGAAATGGCGGATAAATCCCCTCGGAAATAGATGTATTGTTATCGCACAATGCTTACGTTTTGTGTCATTGTCGGTGATTAGTTAACTAGGTCCTATCTCAGAGATGAAGCGGACATTGATCAATATTCGAAAGACAAAGGTACGACATCACCCCTCCCCCGCAGTTTATTATAATTGTCGGAGAGAAGACTGGGTGGTTGTTAGGTTTCAGCGCGTGATATTTGTCTTAGAGAGCCTAGTGAGAATAAATTTGCTTTGTATCGCGGCGAAGAAGTTTGTGTTTGGTAAACACTACCGTGAACGTTTCAAACCAAGTTTGAAGTTGGTGATTGAATTCTAAGGACATCAACAGGTAGCTACAGGTGATTTACCATGAAATAATGCTGGTTTGAGAGCGTGAGGCATTCCGGCGGTCGGAACGACTGATTGATCATAGTTCATTTAGGATTAGATCAGGCTTGCCAAAGCCAAACTCTTTTAGACTTAATTGAATTTCTGTCGCATTCATCGTAATTTGCTGATCGGTTACTTACTTAAGCTCTCAATTCAGGTTTCGCTCAGAAGTTCGTGACAATTGTACAAAACCATGGTGTTTTAGATCCGTGATCTTTAGAGTGCGCAAATTCCGCGATGACTCTGAAACGCGCATGGAAGCCGCACTCAATCACGTCTTGTTGATGAATCACTGGCGTAGTATTTCGATTAGGTGGCGAAAAATAATCTAATGGGAATCTCATGATCACCATTTTCAATAAGTTATGTACATAACACACTTATTTAGTTTTGGCGAACTTTTAGCTGTTCTTTTGCTTTTGTGCCTTTTCATTTCCGGATTGGATTGCGACGCACTGTAAGGAAAATCTGAAGATCGGAAGTTCGAAATGTGATGTTTTTCTGTCTGCCGAATGCCGGAACTTCGCTGGCAAGTCTTGTAGGTTTCAGTGTCTAGTTTGTTCAGTATTTTAACACATGAAAGGTCTCTTCATTTTGTGATCACCTGAAAATACCGAATGCACTGTTTTAAATTCATCTCACGTATACGTGAGATTAGCTAGATTAATTTGTTGCTCATTGTTATGACCAAAATTGACCACCAGTAAAATTATAAGTTTCACGTTAAACATTTTAAGCCGATGGCATAAGATACAAAAGCAAACTTGAGCGAAGTTAAAAGAGCCCTTTAGCATAGTGTGCACTTTTGACCAGCTAAAATGTTATGAGAACTCAAACCTCAAAATGTCATGCTTACTTTGGCATCGAATAACATTCCACTTAGAATTTCCATTTTGTTACTGCTAGCTGCACGAGGTTCCTTATCTCGCATTAGGCTTGTCCTTTGCTCATGCTGAGAAGTTCAAGGTTTACTGTTTGCCAACAAACTATCTTATTTCAGTAACTCTTAAGCTTGGAAGCGTGGCTGTGATTGTAAAAAGAAATCATTATTGAAGGGATGTGAATGACTAGTCTTCCGACTGTGTAGAAAACAAACTCTTAAAGTCACTGTTAGTAATGTTTATTAAACGATGTGGAAAACAATACGGAAAACTGATACTTTAATTGCAACCTCAGAGAGCATGCAGGATACGAGGGTCACAAACACAAATATTTTCAAATTTTTACGAAAATATTCAAGTATGTTACGTTGAAAAGAAATATAATTTTCTAAAGGGTGCCGTTGGTGCCTGTTAATTTAGGAGGGCAAATTTTATATGCGATACTAATGCAAGAGGAAAGATGAGAGTAATTAGGAGAAATTTGATTATCACCTACTATCTGGTTCTCTGTATCTAAGAAAGATAACAGGAAAATTAATTAGTGTCTGTTGGAGAATAGATTAGCTGGTATCTATTTCACAAGTTGAATTCGCCCATCGTGTCTCCACATCACAATATTCCTTTACTTGAAACGAAAAGCTATCAATTCTCAACTTTATTGCGATAAGAACTGGCAATTCTTGGTAGTATGTGAAAAGGTAACAGTTTTCCATTCCTAGAGTTGATTTGTTTATAAATGATATCAATGTGCTCAAGTTTAACGGCTCGTTTGCTTGTCCTATTTAATGCTGGTTTGTTCAGTGAAGTTCTGTGTCCTTTCTTCACTAATATATTTTAACTGATTGTCATTGTTGTTACATAGTTAAGGAGAAATTGTCTTTAAACCTTGAGATATATGCTTTGGGAATTTGTCATATGTAGGGTTGTTTGATTAGCCAGTCTCCAGTGCTTTGCCATAATTATCAAGGGCAAGAACGTTGTTTGGCTAAAATGGCAGCAAAGTTAATGAAGCCTTGTCAAGCATGCTTCAACAAGCTTTCCTTCTAATTATGTTTTAATTTGAGGTATTAAACAAAGCTTTCTTTAATCATGTGATAGGATTTAGTTCATTAAACAAAAGCAAATATTGCAAAAGCACCTAAACAAAAGCAAATATTGCACCTAGTAGATGACAACTGTACTTTGCCCATAATATAAATACACTTTTTCCTTGGTGTTATCTAGATTTTCATGTATTTTTTACAAAATGTTGAGTTTTTACATTATTTGAAGAACAATTTGGGAAATGATCACTTTGATCACTTCAACAAGCATTTAATTTATTTAAAGTGAATTGAGCAGCTCTCAAAATGTGGTTTATCTTTAAGCCAACATGACAGGAACTTAAGACTGCATCCGGCAGTATCATAACCCTACATAATTGCTAGTACAGGGGGTCTTAAGGAAAAAGTTTGCTCAACAGATTACAGGAGCTACATCATAATCTTTCAGCTGTTTTTTGTGCAGTATAAAACTATGCTCAACTTGAAAGCAGGTACAAAGTGTTAGTTTTGTAAACCAAGAAGGCCTGAAGGTGAAGATGGAACAGATAAAAAATTATTGCAAATGCAAATTTGAAATTAGGAATGACTGGATAATTTTTTTTTAAGATACTCAGAATTAAGTAAAGCTCCTGTAGGTCAGCTTTTCCCCAAAAAAACAAGTGAATTGAATGTGCAATTTTAACTCTAAACAGATCATATTTTTTTACATTTTGTATGACTTTTAAAACTGTACACATCAGTAATTTTGTTGCACTATTTTTGCAGTGGATAAATTACTGGGTTGTATTACATGGATTCAAGTTGTGTTTCTTCAAGAATGAAAACACAAACACAAACTTAAAAGAAAATGTAAGTGGTGTTCATTATTATGTCTTGTAATAAGTATATGTGCTAGAATTGGTCAATTTAGTAGTCCATACTACTGTATGGCCTGCTAAATTCGAAGGTTTATTTGAATTTAAGTCTTCTCCTTCTATATGAACCCAGAGATACAATAAGTACCTTATGAACCTCACTTTCTAGGTCTGTACTGTAAGTTATAGACCAAGTGTTTTTTCTGCTCAGATTTATGACCTGTGTGCTTTATGGTTGGGCCAGAAATCTAAGCAGGAAAAAAAGTCAGTCTGCAACTTACAGCACATGTTTAGCAGCTAGAGGGGAGAATTAATGACCAGGGTTAGGACCATGAACAAAACTTAATTGATAAAGACTTTATCTTTGGCACATGGTGGCCAAACATATGCCTCCAAGTGGGCAACTTTTGTTCCAAATTTAGTAGCCCAAAAATAGAAAATTGCACCTCACCATGCTGATGAAAATGGTTGCAACTTAGAGCATTTTGACTGCAGTTTTAACTCAGTACTGGGCAGTACCCTGCCATCGTTAATTGCAGTAAAGAGGGGGGCATTGGGGCCTATTGGAAACCGCAAAACTGTAGAAAAATCATCAAAAACCATAAAAAAAACCAAAAAAAATTTGATCAAAACTGAAAACCACATGCAAAACTGTCACAAGCAATACATTTTCACATCCCAGTCATTAAAACCCTGATCAATTAGATACGGTGGTGACAAGTGGAGCGTACAGAGTAAACTACACTAATTTCATTACAGGATTTATGACTGCCATAGACTTGGCATTCGTATCTTCTAGTATCTGCTTAAATTAACAGCTGCTTTCTCGAGGACCATGAGCGTGGTCTCTGCGGACTCAACAGTTGGTAATGGGGCCTAGTTAAATAAAGGAAATTTGCACAAAAGTCCTCAATAGGATTGCAATTTTGCAGTCACAAAAAGCTATAGCTCTGGAAAGTTTCATCAAAAATCCCTAATCTAACACTTCCATTTGCAAACTAAGACTTGAAAGTTTGGAGATTCTATTGGAATCAATCAGTCACATGTGGCCTGTAACTTGGTCACCAACTTCAAGGTGGCATTGATAAAGAAACTCTGGCAATGTTCCACGCTTAGCTGTACCCTACATGTAGCTATAGCCTCCCCTCCTGCCCCCACCTTGGGGGAGGGAGAGTGTACAGCTACACATAGGCCACCTAGGGATCCCTGTGATATTTCAATTGGTTTGTCATGTATTCCTCTCGAAAACATTTGCATCTAGCGGCTATTCAAGATCAGTGGAGGCCTGTAATTGCTGCTCAGATCGAAGAGAAACCGGAACCCAAATAGGTCAGATAGGAAAGACTGAAAACCACATCAGATATCAAATCCAAGAATGTGTTGGTATTTTTTGCAGAAACTGAAAACCAAATGCTAAAAAACTGAAAATCTGCAAACGGCAATAAACACCAAAGCCAAAAAACAGAAAAACCAATCTAAAAAAAGCCAAAACCACAAAACTGAAAATCCCAATGCCCCCCTCAGTAAGGGTTACTGTCAATGGCAAAACATACATTTCTGATCATATCAGCCTGTATAAACTACCCATGGGTAAACCATAACAGTCACAAATATGTTTTATTACTCTCCTTTTAGCAGATTAAATGCAATATTGATATTGCAAACTGTAGCTTTTCTAGTGGTAAAACCAGCAAAGACAAGTTTGAATTTGAACTCAAAGCAGACCGCAAGAAGTACTTATTTAGGGTAGGTACATAATGCACACATTCCTGTGTTGACAAGCAAGAAATTACGCTTAATTGTAAGTTGTGATTAATGTATAGCAAATTTAATTTGTCACTAACATCAGTTCTAAGTTTCAGTGGTAATATTCCAAGTGCTTCCAATATCTGCTACATTTATAACTTAGCTGCCACATGAATCACTGGTTTAAAGGAAAATTAACAGAGAATTCAGGGTCAGCATTTTCCCTTTGAAACTAGAATTTCTGTATAAACACTAAAATTTGTGATGCCAAACTGGAGGTACCGCTTATCTGAGAGTGAGTTCTATACACCAGTGCTTAAATAAATGAATGACTTTGTAACCATAAAGTTCTACAGTGTAAAAGTCCTACAGTGTAAAAGTTCTACAGCGTAAAAGTTCTACAGCATGCAGCTGTGAAATATTTAAGTCCCTTCTTTTCTGTACATATTTTTAGACAAATTCCGAACTTCTTCGTCTTCAGTGGGTACACTCAATAGGACTTGCTGCACAGGTAGTTACTGATTATTATATTTTAACCCTTTTTGCCTTTAAGGGTGACGAGCATCTAATTTCTCCTTACAATATCACCCCTGAATTACACATTACGGTCACAAGAATTGGAAATTTAAGAAAAAAATTGTAGAGAATATGCATACTCATCTGATGTTAGGTTGTAAAGAGTTAAAGAATACTTCAGTCTGAGCAATTCCAGAGGAACAATTTTATAATTTTTATTACATCATTGGGGGTAATTTATTTTTAAAAAAAATCCATTTTGAGCTTCTTATATCAAAGGACAGTTGTGTTGAATCTTGCATTTGATACATTTTACATGTTAGAGGTAAGGAGAAATTATTTTAGTAGCAGGATTCTCACAGTTTTATACATGTAGTAGATAAATTGAGTTGTGTTTTCCTTGTTTAATCTTTAAAATCTTTGCATGGTATTTTACTTTTTGTATTCATCGTGGTTGTCTCTGATTGCTCAGGGTAAGCCTCCAGTGACATCAACAGATTTTGAGTCAGGACCTGGTGACTCACCTACCAACAATAACGAGTCTCCCGTAGAGAAAATATCAAACCAGTACACAGAAGGTAACCTTACCTTTGATTTCACTTTTACTTTAATTAGGGTTTTAGTTTGATTTTTTTTTATTGTGTATGCAAATGCAGAGAAAACCTATTAGAGTCAATTTTGGCTTTTTTGCAAATTTAGTAAATACATTTGAGATTGTTTTCCTATGTTTTAATGAGTAAGAGATGTGGTGACCCAATGGGACAAGGCTTGGTCTGGTCACTGTGTTGCATTGTTGGGCCAGACAATTAACTCT